CCAGAAAATTAAGGGAGATCTTCCAAAGATGTCCTAAAAAGTTATCGTCAGAAAAATGAAAGACAAAACGGAAAGGCGTCGTTCAAGCATATTCTCAATTTTGAGAAAAAACAAATTGACTAGGCAGTTCTCTGAACCGGGAATCTTCCATCTGAATCGAAAGTATTCGGTCGATTCCGCCATTTTGTCGGATTTCACGAAGACCGAGAATGATGGTTATAAAATGTGTTTACATCAGGTTGATAGTCATAGCGTTCAGGCTTTGGTGTCTAACGAAGGTTTGTATTTTTAGCAACTTTTATTTTATTGTATTTTACTTAACAATTACTTCCGTGCGGTTTCACCCGCTGATCGGCTCTATTTGATCGTAGGATGATGTATTTTGTGCGACTTTTTTATTGTATTTTACTTAACAATTACTTCCGTGCGGTTTCGGCTCTATTTGATCGTAGGATGATGTCTTATAGCGTTTAGAGACATTGTTTTATTAAAATCCGCCCAGTGGTTCCAAAGATAACTCCCTACATACAAACTTACTGATTAAATCGTATAATTTATTTTATTTAGTAACTCAAGTACCTAATTGTTAAAAATATAGGTTACTGAAATTAAGACTATTTTAAAAATTATTCCAAATTTTCAGTGTAATTGACACTGAAATTACCATTATCGAAACCAAACAAAACTGTCTATTGTATCTTTAATGTCAATGCTTTTTTTTTCATTTTTTTTAATTTTTCATTAAATTATGACATAATAATACTGAAGAAACGTATTAAAACCTACATGTTAAACTGCTCACCCGTCCACAACTACAAGACGAATATGAAGTTAAATATAAATAAAGCTAATACCAGACATTTATCATAGACAGACAGATATTTCATACAAAAACCACTTGAAATAAATCACCTATCTACCTACAGTTTTATTTTTAAATCTTAAGTACCTGTGTATTGCTCCGTAAATATACATCGTTACCAATATGAAATTCTAAATTGATCATTCGTCTATTGAACTGCCCGGAAGGTAAACTCGCACTATAGCCAGGGATATTAGGTTTTCGGAGATACGGTGAAAAATGGAGGACACGGTGGAACATACGGTGGCGGTGTTCCCTGCCTGGGTCGAGCGTCGCCGTGTACTCGTGGAAGTGATCGGCAGCGGCGACCTCTCGCGCCCATCCTTCGTCGAGGTCATGGATCATAGCGAGAGGAACTGGAAAGCCGTCTGCTCTTTCTGCGAAGCAGTGATGCTCGCAAAGGAGGAGGCGGAGCGCGTGAGGGAACTATCCTCCTCGCGCCCCAGCCGCCGCAGTAGGCTACATTCCGGGCCCTATAACCCTGGGCGGGAGAAGTCATTCAATGATTTTCCCCTGACCAAAAAAAGGTATAAGGGAAAGAAGGATTGGATCTCCGGTAAGATCTCACTCACACCGCGAATCAACGCTGTGATTGTGCACGTCGGTTTTCTGTAAAGCCGTGGCTCGACGGTCAAACCGACCCATTCGTGCCGAAGCTTGGCTCGCCCACACTTAAATGATCCCACAGTTTTCAAATAGATAGTTGTTCTAAAAGTGATTAAAACAAAATATCGTTTCACTATTCTCAAATTGAGTCCTTGTAAAGTCTTTGCAATTGTTTATATATGTTGAATGTTCACCTACGAAGATGTCTGTTTGTACGGAGTAGTAAATAAACATACCGATTTAAGTTTCAACGGATAAGGATCAATGACCGACCTAATATCGGACGGTAGTCTTGTTTTCGTATGTCGTGGTGGCCCGGAGTTTAAGGAGCCCGCTTCTCATGCATGAGGTTAAAGTTCGAAACCTGGCAATTACCAATGTGACTTTTTCCGAGTTATATGTACTTTCTATGATTATTTAGACACCTCTGACATACGGTGAAGGTAAGCATCGTGAGGAAACCTGGACTTATAATTTCTAATTATAAGTTTGAAATCGCCAACCCGCATGGAGCAAGCGTGGTGATTAATGCTCTAACCTTCTCCGCATAAGAAGAGGCCTTTGCTCAGCAGTGGGCACTTATAGGCTGATGATGATGATGATGATGATGATGAGTCTTGTTTTCAAGGAGAATTTGCTGTGTGTTACATAGAAGTTCTTAGTATGAGCTCAAAGAGCTAATAGACTATCACAGATAGGGCCCAATATGGCCAATGCTTAGTCGGGGTCGCGGGTTAAGCGCATTAGGTTTTTAAGTGTGGGAAAGCCAACCTAATCTAGGCTCGACCGAAGTGATCATGGCCTCAGAGAAAACCGGCGTGAAACAACCACAGCGTTGTGTTTCGCCGTGTGAGTGAGGTTACCGGAGATCCAACCGCCCAATCCTCCGCCCCCTCCCCCGATCCCTCCCCAGTCCCTAAATCTTCAAAATCCTACTCCCTAAAAGGTCGGCAACGCACTCGTAACCTTTAGTGTTGCGAGTGTCCATGGGCGGCGCTGATTGCTGTTCATTTGCCGACTTATTTATTACATAAAAAGGTTTTATTTTAACCAATTCTGTTTCATTCACATTTGTAATGAAAATTTAATATTTGTAAGGCTAAATAACCACATAAAAATATTTAAGAACAATAGGTGCGCGAAAGACGGCGTTTGCTTGGCGTTTAGTGAAAATTATAATTTTCAGTACACTTCCTCATAAAGTGGCTCTAATCCCACGGCAATTAGGCACGTAATGACACCTATAATCAAACTGTGACTTTTTCATTACTATTATTTACGAGTGAGTCATATTGTTTTTTTACGTTGAGTTACATGCTTGTTAAATGCCCGAAAAAGAAACCTCATTTTTGAGTCTATGGCCGATGCGCGCGCATAGGAAAACTGATGATTTTTTCCCGCCATTACAAAAACGAAACATTTTATTAAGTATTATTTTATTTATCTATTATAAGGTACGCTCACAGCTTATGTATACAAGTGGTTTAAAGTATTGGTTATAGGCAATAGGTCATATACACTAGCCAGTTACGAGCTAACCAACATTCTAAAAATTATGCGTTTATACAGTCCAAATATATAGAAATTAAAACTAGAACTAATTAAATTAACAGGTAGAACAACTGTATTAATCATAGTAAAATATTAACTAAGTAAAATAAAAAATAAAATTTTACGAGATGTCTTGTAACCAATTATAAACAATAACTGCACATTAATATTCTAAACGTAAATCATTGAATAAAGGAACCGACATTTTTTTTAATTTTACCGCATTATGTCAAATATTCATTTGTCATTATGTACGAGATTACCGTTCTAAAGAATTATTTCAATGAAGTGGCATTGGAAAGTCATAATGACGCTATCGTGTTAGTAGATTACCAAACTTGTCAAAATCAACAATTTTGAAACCAATGAGCTACTATTCTGACACTATTGTAATAGCAGACTCGAGGCCCTGTCCGGCCGCCGTATCTTGGCAAAATCTGAAGTTAGCCGTTTGTCTGCGCAATGGATCTTTTAGGAACGAAATTGAGTACTGCGCAGCTAATCGGCTAACTTCAGACTCGCCAAGATACGTTGGCGGTATTGTACCATAAGGGAACGTCCATAAATTACGTGAGGTGTTTAAGGGGAGAGAGGTCTCGGCAAATATCACACAATTTTTTTACTGATTGAAACGTCATGAACATCTAGATTGTACACGCTTAAGATTTAATCTTAAGCGTAATCGTAGTACGATTAAGATCATTTAGTAATAAAAGGACGATGCAAATTTGTTTTTTTTTTCTTTTTACAATAACAATACAACGTAAAAAACACACATTTTAAAAAATCTCACGTGAGATTCGGGGATGGGGAAGGGGGTTGAATAAAATCTCACGACATCTCACCAGGGGGAGGGGGCGTACGGCGCGTGGCGTTCCGCGCGCGCCTCAAAGAGCCAATGGACCACCTCAGACGGGCCCTAAAGGGCTGATGTTCAGCCGGGGTGGCGGGGTAAGCGCAATGAGGCACCGCGACCTCGGCCCAGAGCAGGAGAAGAATAGGGGGGGTTTTTAGTCAGTAAGAGTCTGACACTCCCTCCCGCTCGGCCCTGGGCGGGAGAAATGATTTGATGATTTTCCCCTCACAAAAAAAACCAGGTTTGGGGCAGAAAATTTAAAAAAACACCTTACGTAATTTATAGACCTAATGTACTATTGTGCGTTGGTTTTAGAGCCAGTATTTTTATAATGCCACCAGTTAAGCTTGCATCTATTAGTTAGGACAAGTATCAGAAATCCTTTCCTTTATTGAACCATCTCCTGTGTTTAACTTTACGTTGCATAGCTATCAAAGATTTATCCTATAGTATTGAGATAAGACTGAAGCACCAGTATTTTTTTAAGCTAAAAACTTTATTAATGTATATTTTCTACAGATAGAGATGACGATGGAAAAATTTTGTTTACACGGTAGATACATTTAATATATTTGACACGTATATGGCTAGCAAAATGGGATGACATGATGATAAGTGTGGCAGAGCGATGCTCCGGCACGAATGGGTCGGCTCGACCGGATTGATACCACGGCCTCACAGAAAACCGGCGTGAAACAACCACAGCGTTGTGTTTCGCCGTGTGAGTGAGGTTACCGCAGGCCCAATCCTTCCCCACCCCCCAATGCCTCCTCAATCCCTAAATCTCCAAATCCCTAAACCCTTAAACGGAGGAGTTACGAATGCGTTGCCGATTCGTAACTCCTCCGTTGCGGGTGTGCATGGACGGCGCTGATTACTTACCATCAGGTAATCCGTCTGCTCGTTTGCCGACCTATTACATTAAAAAAGGTATACCTTCTCCCAGTTTGCCGTCCTAAGAAGCCGTGTCTACCTAATATTTTTTCGCCATATAACTAACGGACGTAGATTTCTTTAAAGTCCTATCGTCATCTCTATCTCTATCTCTTCTTCTTCTTTTCACATATCTTCTTCATGCTTTTGCTAATCAGTAGATGAGCTAACGTTCACCAATCCTTATAACAGAGCTAGCAGGCGCCGCATCCGATTCGGATAGCGACGGATCCCGGAACGGCATGCCGGATCGACGGCCCGCGGATCTCAAGAAGCAACAGATTATAACGGACATTGAAAACAATTATGTTTTGGATACAAACGTTGATATTGGTGTGGTAAGTGTAATTATTTTATTATAACTTCGCTCTTAGAACCTCTATTGAAAACTACCTTCCGCCCTCGGCTTTGTCCGCGTGCTATGTTGGTAAAAAGTAGCCCATGTCCTATTCCGAAGTGTATCCTATGCCTGTGCCAAATTTCATCCAGATCCGCCCATCCGTTTTGGCGTTATTCAGTTACAAACATGCGAACGTCGTTACTTTCGCAATTATTATTTTAGTAAAATAAGACTAGCAGCCTGCCTCTGCTTCGTTAGGGTCTCAAACCATCTCGCTAATGACGAAAGGATCCCTTTTACGAAGCTATCCCGTATTCGGTATTTTCTAAAATGTTCTTTCATAAGAACTTTCCCATGACGTATTTCCAATCTCTCTCGTCTAGTTTTCTAAAATGGTCTTTTGTAAGCACCTATCCCTAGACCATTTAACAAAAAAAGAATTGGTAAAATTAGTCCAGGCGTTGTTGAGTTATGCGCTCACCAACAGATTTTGGGATTCATTTCTTTTTTTTAAATTTGCCCCGAGACTCCATGTATAATCTGCATTTGTAGGGGGCTCCGCACAGGTTAGTACTCGCACTTCATGGACAGACTGCCAACGCGTTTATTCTCGCTAGAAGCACTCGTATTTCCCGCGCTGTGCGAACGAGACTGTCACAGTCTGTGTGACATAAACTGAATGAATGACAGAACAAATAAATGCATACAGAAAGTACAATTGGGTAGTTTCCTAAGTCAAAATTAATTAATTCGACGTTTCAATACAATAGAATATTGAAAAATACCTAACTATACTTTTATTCATCGATCGATCGATCCACTAAGTTTTAGATATTTTTTAGCTATAATATTATATTAAGAAATAAGTAAGCTATTTGACGCAATAATACTATGACGTCATAACTCAGTTTTTCATACAAATTTCATAGAAAAGTATCGTTTTTGACATTTGGATAAAAGTATTGAATATGACTAGTTGGAAACTACCGTATTGCTTTCCTTCTAACCAAGTCTTTCTCTTTCCAGGCAGGAGAGTTAGTAGAAGAAGTGGCAGAGGAGAACAAGTCTCTCCTATGGTTCCTACTAAAGCAGGTCCGACCTGGTATGGACCTCAGTAAGGTGGTCCTACCGACGTTCATATTGGAGCCCCGGTCGTTTCTGGATAAATTGTCGGATAATTACTACCACGCTGATATTTTGGCAGAGTGAGTATTGTAGACGTTTTCTTTATGTGATATGAAACGAGCACACATCGACATCCGCAACGCCCAAGGAGTTACGAGTGTGTGTTGCCGGCCTTTGGCATTTTTTGTTTAAGGATACTTAAACATCCGAAACCCTTATCCACAAGACGTACTTTATGGTATAAGTCGGCAAATGAGCAGCCGGATTACCTGATGGTAAGCAATCAATACCAAAGGAGTAACGAGTGCGTTGTCAACCTTTTAGGGTTAACGGTTTTGTATATTTAGGGATGACGGGAGGGGGGAGGGCTGGGCCTTCGCTAACCTCACTCACACGGCGAAACATAACGCTGTGGTTGTTTCACGCCGGTTCTCTGTGAGGCCGTGGTATGACTCCGGTCGAGCCGAAGCTTGGCTCTCCCACACTTAAGTTATTTATTTAAACGCCTGTCCCTGCTATCCTATTCGGCCGCTATCACGCCTGGTGGTTAGCGATGATGCGACCTGCGATTAAGACATAAGCAACGTATTCACTTGGGCCTTGAGGACACCCAGGTTATACCTTTAAAGGAACATAGACTCCGGCAAAGAATTCCACTCCTTAGCGGTTCTGATTATAAAACTGGAGGCGAATTGCTTCGTGCGTATGGGTGGAATATCCACCATAAAGCGGTGATGTTTTGCCAGTTAAATGATGGTACGATGATGGAAAGGTCTTGGGAAAATGGAGGCGTTACAGCTCTCAAACATTTTCCGAAATGTATCCCAACTACGCACTGCTTACCATCAGGTCCACGGTGTGCTCGTTTGCCTCCCAATCTCATTAAAAACCTAATTATATGCTAATTTGCTACTAAAATCACCCTTTCCTCTTCCAGAGCCCAACAAGTAGAAGATCCCTACCAGCGGTTTGTAGCTGTTCTGCGCTGGTATCTGTCAGGCCTATACCGAAAACCCAAAGGTCTGAAGAAGCCATACAATCCTGTCCTCGGAGAGACCTTCAGATGCTGTTGGAGACACAGTCCGGAGTCGTATACGTACTATGTTGCTGAACAGGTGAGCTGATCTTTTAGTCATCTGCAGTGCTATTCGGTGAATGGTAAATCGAAAGAAAGAAAGAAAGAAAACATGTTTATTTGGCACTCCATGAAGAAAAATACAAAATAAACAATAAAAAAATAAAATGAACAATTACAATCTCAAGTTAGATAAAAAAGGAAATAAAAATAAAAAGAAAAAAAACAATCGCCTCGAAACTCATCTCGAAAGTCACACATCACTTCGCTTCTCATCTCACCTGTACACAAACGTCAAAGTACTCACTTGTTTTAGTTCCTTTCACTTCGTTATTCACATGGCGGCGCCAATGTAGAGTTCACTCCATTTGAGAATCCGAAACTTTAAGTAAACATGATTTCATCACGGATTCAGAAGTGATTTCGTAGAACAAAAGATCCATGTCCTCACCTTCCGCCCGACGCAGGTGCTTACCGGGCACGACAACTTCGGTAGGTTCCTGTTTCGGATCCAGCTAGAGGAAACGCTCATGAATCGTCATTGTGAGGACCACCCTGAGGATACGGTGGCGGTGTGCCCTGCTTGGGCTGAGTACCGCCGCCGTGTCCTCAGGGAAGTGATCGGTGGCGGCGACCTCTCGCGCCCGGCCTTAATCGAGGCCATGGTGCGGAGCGAGAGGAACTGGAAATCCGTCTCTGCTTGAGCATGAGCGCTTGTGCTTGTCTATCTATCTATCCTCACGCCCCGTTCGACCCAGTAGACAACACTCCAGGCGTCGGGGATTAAAAGACGATCTCCGGCCACCGTAAGCGCGGGTCCGAACCAAACCCGAGCGTACGGCGCGTAGCGATCCGCGCGCGCCTCAAAGAGCCAATGGACCACCACAGACGGGGGCCCTATAGGACTGATGTTTATATATCTCTTGTTTAAAAAAACTGTCTTTTTTTCTTCAGGTCTCCCATCACCCCCCAGTCTCTGCATTCTACGTGGCCAACAGAAAGGAGGGTTTCGTTATAGAAGGCAGTCTACTAGCTAGGTCTAAATTTTATGGTGAGTTTTTCTCTATATCATTATTTTTCTTCATAGTTACTGATATTGTTTTGTTGTTATGATTTTCATTACTTTGTTGTCATTGAAACCTGTGTCAATGTCAAAGTTGGTTTTGACTTTATGTCAAAGTCAAATCTATTGTTCTAATTTATCGCAAATAGACCAAAACAAGCACTTGTGAACGTCAAACAATTTGTCCTTCTCTTAGATTCTATAAAATTTGTTTGATTTTGAATCTTGTTCGAGTGTGAAGTGAGCGTCGAAGTGACGGGGAAATTACATTATAGAATGCCACTTTTAACGTCATCTCATACTTTATCTATCAAAATGTTGCGGTCAATTTAGTTCAACTCGCAAGTGTAGCGCTAGTGTACTACTACTCACAGCGAATTCAGATTCGAAGTTTAGAATGAAGTCTTACAGAATCACACTGCAGGTACTTTGATTCTGTGGTACTATTTTTGAGGGGGGATGTTATTGAATGACTTATCCTACTCTGTGTCGAGCGAGAGGGGCTTTTAGACTATTCCTGACCAAAAACCACCTCGTTACTTCTCCTGCATTATTACGCTTGTACCTGCAACCCTGGATGAAATTTGTTTTTGTGTATCATATCAATGATGGGATAATATTTGTTTTAAACTAGTGTGTCTACTCTGCTTCACACGAAAGCTAGCTACCTCCCTAACGATGAACAACTATAGACCCTAAATCCCGAAATTCCCAACCATATGGACTGGCACATAGAACTGGTCTGAACTGGACTGGCCGATGGCAACAAGAAACGAAAAAAAAAAAATTAGAAATCTTGAAAGGTTTTCTTGTATTCAATAGAATTTTTAGAAATTTTTTTTTTTTTCATTATAAAATTTATTCTCTTTCGTTTCACACAGGAAATTCAACGTCAGCCATATTGGAGGGTTGCGCGCGCATTCACCTTTTGAACTGGGGCGAAACGTACGTCACGACCGCGCCTTACGCGCACTGTAAGGGAATAGTTATCGGGACCCTTAGTATGGAATTGGGAGGCAAGGTATGTTGAAATAACTAGTATTTAGCTGATGTTAAGCTACAATTGCCACCCATGGACACCCGCAACACCAGAGGAGGATTAGGGTGTCGGTAATTTAGTTATTGAATGGCCTCCGGTAATCTCACTCACACGTAAGCGTTGCTTCACGTTGGTTTTCTGCGAGGCCGTGTTATCACGCCGGTACCGCAAAGCTCATAAGAGAAAAGAAGAAGCATGACTTTTTATGAAATAAGTTGGCAAACTAGACTTGACGGATTACCTGATGGTAAGCAATTAGCGCCGCCCATGGACACTCGCAACAGATGAGTTACAAGTGCGTTGCCGACCTTTTGTTGATTAGGGATTTAGGGGAGTGAATGGATTGGGCCTCCGGTAACCTCACTTACACGGCGAAACACAACGATGTGGTTGTTTCACGCCGGTTTTCTGTGAGGCCGTGGTATCACTCCGGTCGAACCAACCCATTCGTGTCGAAGCATGGGCTCTCCCACATATATATGATGTATCTTTCATCCCTACTTCTACACTAAGTACCAGATACTGTCGCGCGGTTTCACGCGCTGCTCAGCTCTAATTGATCGTAGCGTGATGTTTTATACTCATCAGTCAGTAAAATAATTTTGTAAATCCAACCAGCGAGCGGTTCCAAAGATTACCCCCTACCTAAAGACTTACAAATTTTACCTCTTTATAATATTAGTATAGATAGTAGATTATAACCTTATCTTTAAATAAACTATCTTTATCTTTTATCTTTAAAATTAATTATGTGTTTTCAGGTGCATGTAATGTGTGCGGAAACCGGGTACCACGCCGACGTTGAATTTAAGCTTAGAGTGAGTATAATATCCTACTTCACTACATAGTATAAAACAAAGTCGCTTTCTCTGTCCCTATTTCCCTTTGTACGCTTAAATCTTTAAAACTACGTAACTGATTTTGATGCGGTTTTTTTATAGATAAATTGATTGAAGAGGAAGGTTTATATGTATAATGACATTAATAAAATAGTGGAGACATTTACATCCAGTTTCCGAAAGGCCGATCAATGTTAAAATCAATTCAATCTCTTGTCAAGTCATCTGATTGGTTGACTGAATTATCAACAACCAATCAGATGACTTGACAAGAGATTTAACAGGAGATTAGTTAATTTTAGCGTTGACAAGCCTTTCAGAAACCGGGTATCAGCTTTGTACGCGTGCAAAACTGGGTCGGGTCGCTAGTTTATCCAAACTAGTATTATAAATGCGAAAGTAACTCTGTCTGTCTGTCTTTTCTTCACGTCTAAACTACAGAACCGATTTCTGTGAAATTTGGTACAGACATGTTTGGAACTCGAGAAAGGACATAGGATAGTTTTTATACCAAAAATCTGCAGGAAGTCACTATTCCACGCGAACAAAGTCGCAGACAAAACCTAGACTTAAATAAACAAAGTTCTTCAGAACTGTTTTATAAAGAAAAACTGGTCTACGTAGAAACACATTACATGGGCAAAGTCGTCTGCAGAATCTAGTTTTGTTTTCCTAACTTCGTTCCTAACTTTTTTTGTTTTATTTTTAACAGTCTTTCCTCGGTGGAGCAGACCAAACGAATGCTATACAGGGAAGGATTAAGCGCGGCAAGGAAACTGTGGCTGTGTTAGAAGGATATTGGGATGGCAAGATTGATATTAAAGATAAGAGGACTGGGGTAAGTTGTGTTTCTTTTATCTTTTACTGTACTCGGAATTTCAAGGTCGACCATGGCGAAGGTGGTGTGACGATCTGATCATGTTCGCGGGGCAAACTTGGCCGGAGATCGCTCTAGACAGAGAAATTTGGAAGGAAAAAGGGGAGGCCTTTGCCCAGCAGTGGAACACACGATAGGCTATAAAAAAAAATACTCGAAATTTTAATTAGATTCCAGATTTGACTTGCTCGCTCTTCTCCATCGGAATCTTTACTTTGGAACGAGCAAATAGCTTCACTAAGAGGACTGACCGACAGACTGACACTATATCTTCAAAATTTTGTTTGACGTTCAAAAGTGCCTGTAAGGGTCTAAATGATTTTTGACTTTGACTTTTGACTTTGACAATTTCAGTTTTGCAACGTTATGACCAGTACTAAATAGTGACGTTGCGAAATTATTCGATATGGAAATGGAATATTTCCGAATCGATTCCTCTCGTTTATAAATTTACTCTCGTAAACTAAGTTTATCAGGAAATTAAATATTTCTAAACCGATCATTTAGCTTCGTCACTATACTTTTCTTTCATAATTGAAATGAAACAATGAATTTATTTTTGCAAATAGGCCATAAAACGGCACTTTTACACGTCAAATTATATGTGAAAAACTAGATGAAGCCGGCATTTCCTATCTGACTACTCTGAGAAGAAATGCCGAAACAAACTCAGAGGTCAGTCTCTTTTCAAGTCCAGACAATGTAAAAATAACATAATATGAGAGAATGTATAGGAAGTTCACAAAAAAATGTGATCTATTATGGTAATAATTTATTTTATAAATTGTCGCCGTCATCGCTATCGCTGATACATTCTGTAACATTTATTATGAATTGTGTCTGTGATATTTATTGTCAATTAACATGGATATGTTAATTGACAATACTCACTTACTCATTTTTTCCTCTTCTTTGACAACATGGGGTACGCATTTAGACCATTCGATAGCCGTAATTTTTTGAATACCTTCCTTAAACAAATTCACTGATTGTTTATCGATTTTTGTGTTCATCACTACACTGTTATATGTGGTATCATTATTTCACAAAATGACAGTAGCTCATGTCAAATCTGGAATCGAATCAAAATACTGACTATAGATTCTTTTACCGGCTCCTGCAAATCGTAGCGTGATGTTCTATAGGGGTAAGGGGTGTCTGATAAGTGTTGTATGTCGGGTATTATATTAATTATATTGGGTATAATATTTGAAGGCACCGGGGGGTTGGTACAAACATCAACATCCCACAGGGGCTTACAGGGAAGTTTTAAACACAAAAAATATAAATCATCATCAGCCTATAAGTGCCCACTGCTGAGCAAAGGCCTCTTCTCACACGGAGAAGGTTTGAGCATACACGCGCTTGCTCAATGCGGGTTGGCGATTTCAAACTTATAATTAGAAATTATAAGTCCAGGTTTCCTCACGATGTTTACCTTCACCGTATGTCAGTGGTGTCTGAATAATCATAGAAAGTACTTATAACTCGGAAAAAAAAGTCACGTTGGTACTTGCCAGGTTTCGAACCCACACCCTCACGCATGAGAAGCGGGCTCCTTAACCGGGTCACCACGACGACGAAAATTATAAATGAAAACTTTAATTAAATTTTTCTATTTGCACACAGGAGGAATCGAATCTGTTCGACGTATCCCTACTCAAGGAACAGAGGCTACCTCGCTATCTAATGAGTATGGATAAACAACAAGAATTCGAGTCTGCCAAATTGTGGATCAAAGTGTCTGAAGCGATACAAAATGAGGATCAGGTTTGTTTATTTACAGTTTATAATATAATACCGTAGTCTCTAACTAGTGAAATTCAATACTTTTATCCAAATGTCAAAAACGATATTTTTCTATGAAATTTGTATGAAAAACTGAGTTATAGTATTTTTTGCGTGAAATAGCTTAATTATTTGTTAATAATTAGCTCAAAAAATATCAAACTTTTAGCGTATCAATCGATCGATGAATAAAAGTATAGTTATATTACAATATTATATTGTATTGAAACGTCGAATTAACTAATTATTGACTTAGAAAACTACCTACTAATTGTTTTAGGTGGCTGCGACGGAGCAGAAAACGTTGATAGAGGAGGCACAGCGTGCTCGAGCGAGGAACCTCGTCACTCCGTGGGTGCCGCGACTCTTCCACAGGAACCTGCAGGCTGTACCCACTGACGGTAACTTTTTTATTATTTCATGACCTGATGGTAAGCAATCCGCACTGCCCATGGACACCAGCAACGCTTTAGAAGTCACAGTTGGCCTTTAAAGAAGGAGTATTGTAGTTTCGCTCGCGCCCAATGACAGTAATTTATTTATGTCAATTCATGACCTGATGGTAAGCAATCAACGCCGCCCATGGACACCTGCAACATCATGAGAGTCATAGCCGGCCTTTTAATAACGTGTATTCTAGTTTCGCACGCGCCCAATGACAGTCATTCAATTACTGATGGTAAGCAATCAATGCCGCCCATGGACGCCAGAGAAGTTACAAGTGTATTGCCGGCTATTTAGGAAGGAGTATGTTATTTTTCTGAAGATTTGAACGAAGTTTAGATTCGGATATTTCTAAGTTTTCTTATGCGCGGCGCTGTTTCGTTTGCATGTTCTCGATAAATGGATTATCCAAAATGTTTTTTTAGTAAGAGCAGATGGATTACCTGATGGTAAGCAATCAATGCCGCCCATGGACGACCGCAACAGCAGAGCAGTTATGAGTGCGTTGCCGACCTTTTGGGGATTGAGGATCCATATTGGGCATTCGATAGATCAGGGCCGACCGTGCTAAGGTGCTGAGTAATGCGGCTGGCAAGGATAGGGAAAGGATTGGGCCTCCGGTAACCTCACTCACACGGCGAAACACAACGCTGTAATTGTTTCACGCCGGTTTTCTGTGGGGCCGTGGTATCACTCCGGTCGAGCCGACCCATTCGTGCCGAAGCATGGTTAAAACATAAAAATGATTGTTCAAATTCGACCCAGTAGTTCCAGATATTAGCTCGTTGAAACTAACAAGGAAAACTCTTCAGCTTAATAATGTTTGAAATGTTGGGGGTTCAAGGGTCTTTTCAATCAGACAACCGGCTCGAATTAATGTACTTTAATGAATGTCATAAAAATAATACTGGTACGATGCGCGTTGTAGTAAACTGCTAACTTAGCTTAAAACGATACTTACATTCTTAAGGAGCGTACTCACTACGTTATTTATTGTTAGGGAGCTTACATACACTTCATATTAGTATAGATGTAGATTTTATATACAATTTTAATTAATAATTAAATTTATGTTTTCAGGTGTTGTAGACCAAGGATGGATTTATAACCATTTAAATATAAAGTAAGTGTGTTTTTTTCTATAATTATTTAAACATATAAATTAATTTAAAAAAAGAACTTTGATTTATTAAAAAAAGAACAGAAAAGAACTATACTTTTATTCATCGATCGATCGATACAATAAGTTTTAGATTTTTTAAAGCTAATTATTAAGATATGAGCAAATAGCTTACTATTTGACGCAAAAATACTATGACGTCATAACTCAATTTTTCATACAAATTTCACAGAAAAGTATCGCATTTTGACATTTGGATAAAAGTATTGAATTCGACTAGTTGGAAACTACCGTCTTATTATAAGCTTCCATTTTTGTAAATGAGGTTTACTGCTTTCTTCCAGTCCTTGGGCACCGGATGAGGTGATGGAGTATGAAGAAGACTTTGTAATCAAGACGCTGCGAGAAGGCGCCGCCCCAGTGAAACCTACGGCCGATATTAGGCGCGACCTTGCAAGGAGAATGTCCGATACTGACAGCCACGACGAATTGACCAGACCAAAAACTTCAGCGTAAGTATTATTTTTCGTAAGCATATAAGAATTTTTTTGCAGTGTTTTTAGTGAGGTTCCCGGAGGCCGGCTGTTAGCCGGGGTTGCGGGGCAAGCGCAATGAGGCACTGCGGCTGCGGCTTAAAGGAAGGTTTAAAGCATTTCTTCTCATACCTAGAAGGTTTGAGCGTTAACCGCCACGCTAGCTTAAGGTGGTTTGGCGATTTCATCACATTGGTACTTGCCAAGTTTCGAACCCGCACCTGCACTCTGCATGCTCACTACTGCATGAGAAGCGGGCGCCTTAACCTCCGGGCAACCACGACATTTCTATACGGTGTCATTTCTATATGGTTACCGAAGGCCCAACCTTGTCCCACTATCCACCCTATCTCAAAATCTCCAAAACCCTAATGTCCAAAAAAATCGGCAACGCACTCATAACTCCTCCGTCTTGTCCATGGCCAGCGCCGATTGCTTACCATCAGGTAATCCGTCACCTCGTATATACCATACAAAAAAATATAATATACTAGCTACTCTCGCGCGGTTTTGCCCGCTGTTCCGCTCCATTTGATCGTAGCGCATGTTTTATAGCCTATAGCACTCAAGAACATTGTAGCTATCTATCAGTGAAAGAATTTTGGCAATCCGACCAGCGGTTCCGAAGATTACCCCCTACATACAAACTTGCAAATTTTACCTCTTTATAATATTAGTATATAGACTTATAAAGAAAGATTTTTAGAACTGAAGGCAAGTCGAAAAAGGGTGACACTCCACCAGACACGTCTCGCCACGTCGTCCTATCAGAGACTCGAATGGATCAAAGAAACCGTAACTTCACGTGAGAATAATAATGCTGTTAGTCGATTAGTCTTTTATATAGATTATTTTTAGGTATTTAGTAGTATTTATAATAACTATCGTGAGACATACTAAATTAATTAAAAATCGCGGGTTACTCACGTGTAAATATTGAGAAAAGCTCTACTAGTTTCGAACCGACGTCGCCGCAGTGCAACCATCAACAGCGATGCAGGCGCCAACGCTAACCAGTAGGCTGCGTCCGCGCACGCTGCTCGTGAGGAAGAACCCCTCTGTGGCTCGAAACTAGTCGAGCTTTTCTCAATATTTACACGTGAGTAACCCGCGATTTTTATTTAGTAGTAGTCTAGATATAGGTATTTTGTATATAGTAAAACTGGGTCAATAGAAATACGGTAGTTTCCAACTAGTCGAATTCAATACGTTTATCCAAACGTCAAAAATGATACTTTTTTTTTTATGAAATTTGTATGAAAAACTGAGTTATAACGTCATAACATTTTTGCGTCAAATAACTTACTTATTTGTTAATAATGCAAAAAATATGTTAAATTTAGTGTATCGATCGATCGATGAATTAAAGTATAGTTAGTTTTCAATATTTTATTGTATTGAATTGAAACGTCGAATTAATTTATTTTTGATCTAGTTAACTACCTAATTTGAAAGGGTGAATAGACACAGAAGGGGGTGGCTAAATACTAGGAAAATTTGTTAACATCTATTGACCCCATGTTATGGTAGTATATTTATTGAGAATATTGATTAAATAGAGTCGATTGATTGAGAATAGGTCTGCCAGCTTCAAGTCATAACGGGAGTCGTACAAAAAAACAAAAGCTGCGAATAAGGACCACAATAAGTGTGGGAGAGCCATGCTTCGGCACGAATGGGTCGGCTCGACCGGAGTGATACCACGGCCTCACAGAAGACCGGCGTGAAACAACCACAGCGTTGTGTTTCGCCGTGTGATTGAGGTTACCGTAGGCCCAATCCTTCCCCACCCCCAATCCCTCCTCATTCCTTAAATCTCCATATTCCTAATCCCTAAAAGGTCGGCAACGCACTCGTAACTCCGTTGCGGGTGTCCATGGGCGGCGGTGATAGCTTACCATCAGGTAATCCGTCTGCTCGTTTGCCGACCAATTACATAAAAAAAAAAAAATAATAATAGCCTTACTCGTATGAGTTCGGAATGACTTGAAACTTGTCGAGGTTTTCTCGAATATTTCACTCAAGTAAGGCGTATATGTATTTATTAGATGACACGTAATCTGGATAGTAATCTAAAGTCTAGACAATGTAGATATAATTTTACTTAAGAGTTTGAGTTCCGTTCTTACTCGAAACTTGTCGAACTTTCCTCGAATAGTTCCCGTTAAGGCGTAAATGTATTTAAAGTTGATTAACTGTGTTTTGGAATATTATCTTAAGTCTAAGTAATCTAGATTTTAATGTCAGAGGTAGTTCTGTAAGGAAGTTTATGTAAATCAAGTTGATACGTATTAATTACACGGGAGAGTCATGCTTCGGCACGAATGGGTCGGTTCGACCTGAGTGATACCACGGCCTTACAGTAAACCGGCGTGAAATACAACAGCGTTGTGTTTCGCCATGTGATAGGTCAACTAAAGTATGCAAATCAAGTATAATTTATAGCATATAGCCCTCAGGAACATTGTAGATATCTATCAGCTGTTCCAAAGATTACCCCCTACATACAAATTTAAAAAAAAACTTATATTTTATAATATAAGTAATAGATCAATAAAAATAACTAATAATCTTTTTTTTATTACAGGCGCACCCTAAAACAGAGTCTCTACGCAATAGACACAGCTCTAAGAGAACAAACGCTAGCCATAGAGCGTCTCTCGAAAAGCGTAGAGACTATAAGTGAAGGTCAGAGACAGGCCGCCGCTTTTAGGCCGCAGAACGTGGGCAGGGTACCAACATCAAGTCATTCGTGGGACTTGTTCGGCGGTTTCGTCCTCGCCATGGTGTTGCAAGCTTTACTAAACTGGGTTTTCTACCAAAAAGACTGAAAAAAAAAAACAGTGTTGCCACTATAAAAATTCCAATGTGATTTTTTAATTTGAGTTCTTTTTTGCCTTTTGTTTGTTGTCTAAATGTAGTTTTTTTTTGTTTTGTTTAGAAATAATGGGTTTGTTGTTAGGTTAATGGCGCTTGGCTTGTGTTCTGTATTTTTTTGTGTAAAAGGGATGGTGATATGTCTTATAATAACCAGTGTATAAGTGCCCACTGCTAAGCCAAGGCCTCTTCTCAAAAAGAGAAGGTTTGAGCATTAATCGCCACGCTTTCTAAAGGCGGATCATCAAAGTTTCTTTAATAAAACCTTATCACTATCCCTCTTTACAATTGTTACATTATGGTAGCGAATTCGATTCCTGTTACTACATTTAAGTAGGTAATATTTATATGGAAAATATTTACAGTATTTTTCAAAAAAAAGCCCATTTAATAAATATAAATGTATTATTTATTAATATGCCATCCATCCGGTTCTAACGGCTTTATTTCGAAATGTATTGCCAGCGTCAAAAAAACGAACAATAATAGTAGAATACCGGAAATGTTGCAAGATTAAAATAAATAGTAGGAATTATTATTTTTAATAATTATTTCTTCTTATTATATTATATTATATTATATTATGTATTGAGTTTGATAGTAATAAATTTAATTTTATCGCTGATTTTTGCCTGTTAATTTTAGTTTAGTTTTAGTGGAAGTTGACCAAATTTTATTATTAAGTTTGAAAACAATAACAATGAAACAATGAATTTATTTTTGCAAATAGGCCATAAAACGGCACTTTTACACGTCAATTTATATGTGAAAAACTAGATGAAGCCGGCATTTCCTATCTGAATACTCTGAGAAGAAATGCCGAAACAAACTCAGAGGTCAGTGTCTTTTCTAGTCCAGACAATGTAAAAATAACATAATGGGAGAGAATCGTGAAAGTTTATTCCGTAGTGGTCTTTTGAGGAAAGAACCACACCAGTTTAAGTGGACCCGTTCTGAAGACAGGCACGCAAGTGTCAGTTTGCAACCAGTATAGCTAGTGCTGCTGAGTTGTCCGACGAACAATACCGATCAAAAGAACATTTGGGTGGGTCGCGCAAGTACTCAAACTGTCAGAACGCAGATAACTGGTAGTCAAAAAGCGCGGCAAGTCTCACACGGTCCTTACACTAACAATAATAGAGTTCAAATGTTTGCAAGAAGTTCTTTTTGATATGTTATCCTGCCCCTGTGTTTGGAGCGGGTTTATAAAAAATATCGCTCAAATTTCAAGTTTTTGAGCTACTATTGAGAATTTTGAATATTCTATGATAGCGAAGTCAGGGGATGGGATGGGATGGGAAAGGGGTCATACTAAAAATGAGGCTAAATTGCTAGGTTATCTATCATTTGATTGTGTAGGGTCTGAAAATTCAGATTTTTACAAATTCTTGTATAAGTAGGATAATACAAATACTTACTATGAGCAGAGACTTATCCTTAGACAAATCGAGATCCATTTTATAATTAAATTAGCAAACCGTATCGCCACAGATGTATTTCAAAAAGTTGGCGCTGTAGAAAAAATTTGGATCGCTTTTTTGTTGAAATTTTCTTAAATTTTCTTTGCTATAAACCTCACGGAGTCCGAGACCTTTCCAGCAAATGCAAATAGAAATCGGTTCGTGCGTTCTGGAATTATAGCGTCAGGAAAGTATTACCGACTTATTTTTATATATAGATATTTATTAGTTACACTTTTTACTATAAATCAACAGTTTTTATTTTGATCAGAATATCAATTAGGACAGCTGTCATTCTATTTTATTATGCTCAATTAATCGGAGAGGTGCTTATAAGCTCTTCTGAGAAAACTAGCGGTCGCCCGCGGCCCACGCGCGTGTCTGTCGATTTTACACTTTATCAAGTTTTTTTTCTTAATTTTCTCTACGTACAGATATTTTCTGGACTTCCAAGAATAATTCAATACCAAAATTACCCAAAATCGGTAAAGGCATTGTTGAGTTATAACATTACAACGAAAAGTGGCATTGAGTTTTATATGCATAATATATAGATTACTGTATTTTTGTCATACAAAGCTATCCGAATTTCTGTTATTCTAATTCACGTTTTGTAATTTCGTCCAACATCGATGACTGGCATCAAGAGCCCCTTTTTAAAAGAGCCTGACATGTAGTTCTGTCATAGTAAAAATAAAATAAATCCAATATCACGTCAAAAAGTACTTTTTTCTTGGATACTAGCTACTCCCGTGCGATTTCACTCGCTCCTCGGCTCCATTTGATTGTAGCGTGATGTTTGTGAAAGAATTTTGGCAATCCGACCAGCGGTTCCAAAGATTACCCCCTACATACAAACTTACTTTTACCACTTTATAATATTAATCTCTTTATATAAATAGTATTAAAACAATAAAGTTTTGCTTAGGGGGGACCATATGCAAGGAACCCCCGTTTTTATTATTCAATTTATTTTTCACTAAATCAGGCTGGATGCTGATTAATATAATTAGTTGCCCACGACTTTTTTCGCGTGGAATAGTGACATCCTGCAGATTTTTGGCATAAAAACTATCCTATGTGTACCAAATATCACAGAAATCGGTACAATAGTTTAGGCGTAAAGAAAAGACAGACAGACAGAGTTACTTTCGCATTTATAATATTGGCTTGGATTGGTTTTCATCCTGTAACCTCTCCCTGGATGGAGAGAGAGAGTCAGACTCTTACTGACTAAAAACACCCCCGTTCCTTCTCCTACTCTAGGCCGAGGCCGCGGTACACTATTACACTTGACCCACATTATCAGCCTATAAATGCCCACTGCTAAGCAATGGCCTCTTCTCACACTTATAAGGTTTGAGCATTAATCACCACGCTCTCTCAAGGTGGATTGTCGATTTCAAACTCTCAACTCAAATTTTCTCACGATGTTTTCCTTCACCGTATGTTTGTGGTGTCGTAATGAACTTAGTAATTAAATAAGACTTGGAAAAAGGTCACATTGGTACTCGCTAGCTTTCGAACTTCCTCATGCATGAGAAGGTGCCCTCTTAAACTTCGGGCTACCATGATGTGAGCTGAAACTGTGGGGTAATAGTATCTTTTATGTTGGTTGTGATCACCAGCTCGGGAGAAATTCGTTTCAATCGTACATTCTTGTCAGAGTGGTCGTGCTCATGGTATGGCCTTGGTGCCTTTGCGATTTCTCCCCACTTTTTTCTGTTAGTGGCCTTCCTTGCGCGCTCCACAATTGAGCTGGATGTCACTGATTTTATAATATACGTCCATCTAGTTGGTGACCGACCATGACGCTGACCCTCTATCCTCCCTTGCACGACCAAACGTTCTATTGAGTCTTCGCTTCGAATGATGTGGCCAAACATTTTAAGAGAGAAAATGAACCCCTGTAAATCGTTCCCTATATCACCCCTGTTACGCCTTCAGAGAAACAATGAAACAATGAATTTATTTTTGCAAATAGGCCATAAAACAGCACTCTTAAACGTCAAAAATTATATGTAAAAAAACTAGATGAAGCCGGCATTTCCTATCTGACTACTCTGAGAAGAAATGCCGATACAAACTCACACGTCTGTCTCTTTTCAAGTCCAGACAAAGTGAAAAATAATATAATGTGCCAGATCTGTGCAAGTCCATTCCGTACTGGTCTTTTGAGGAAAGTACCACACCAGTTCAAGTGGGCCTGTTCTAAAAGAACGCACGCAAGTGTCAGTTTAAAAGTTGTTATATTAGGTATCATAATTCCAAATTCGTTTTATAATAAAATAAAATCTTATAATAAAATTTGGTTGATTTAAAGAAAACATATCGATCAATTCCTTTTTATTTAAATTTTAATATTTAATATATTATACTTATAAAATAATAATAATAATTCGTTTGCGTGTCTTTGTTTGCTTACGCAAGCGGCTGTGTTTTTGGAAAGTCATTTTTTTATAACCTTCAAATTTTTCTAGCCATATTGGGGTGAAAGACTTAGGAGTATTTTTTTTATTTTGGTATTTATTTATAATATTCATGGGCAACACAGGATTATCACTTAAAATAGCAACCAAAAACCACTAAGGTTTAAACTTTTGCCATCATGAGTCTATCTCAAAATCGAAGTCGCATAAAATGAGGTTTTAAAAATAAGTATATTATAACTAGCGACCCGCCCCTGCTTCGCACGGGTCCAACTATCTCGCTATCAAAGGCTCACCTTTCCCAATCTTCCCCTCTACTTTTCTAATATTTTCTTTCATAACAACCTTCTCCTGACAATAACAAACACAACAAAAAAAGAATTAGCGAAATTGGTCCAGGCGTTGTTGAGTTATGCGCTTACCAACACATTTTGCGATCCATTTTTATATGTAAAGAAGATATACGTTAATGTGTGCTAACATCCCGTCCGTAGCAGTCCCCGCATAGACAAACACATTCCTAATTAGTCTATGATTTTAACCTCACTGAGTTTAGTTTTCCCATAAGTGACAACCTTCATCGCTTATGGGAGGTACTGGGACTTTTATGTGAGTGAATACGGTAGTTTCCAACTAGTCAAATTCAATACTTTTATCCAAATGTCAAAAACGATACTTTTCTATGAAATTTGTATGAAACACTGAGTTATGACGTTATAGTATTTTTGCGTCAAATGGCTTAGTTACTTATTTTTTGAAAAATAGTTAATAGATATACAAAACTTAGTGTATCGACAGATTGATCAATGATAGTACCTATATATCTTTTTCACTATTTTTTTGTATTGAAACGTCGAATTAATTTATTTTTGACCTAGAAAACTACCTAATTCCGGAGTTTCGACATTGCCATGTCAAATACAAATGTTAAATGGGGTATTTTGATATTGGAAGGAGTAATACCATACTTACAGATATAACTAGGTTAATTTCGAACTTTTATTAAAATGTCAAAATTAGTATTTTTTTTTTAAGTAGTTCTTTGTGAAATCGCCATACATTTCTTGTTTCAATACAATAAAATATTGATACCTATTTTTTGTCATCGATATGTCGATACACAAAATTTTCGATATTTTTTAGGTATTTTTTTTACAAATAAGTAAGATATTTGACGCAAGAATACTATGACGGCATAATTTGGAGTTTCATTTTTACATAGAAAAGTATCGTTTTTGACATTTGGATAAAAGTATTGAATTTGACTAGTTGGAAACTAACGTATTCAATACGTTTCCAAAAACACAGCCGTTATTAAAAAAATATATATTTTGAACATAAAAAAATAATAAGCTGCTATGTATAAAGACATTTGTATAGTTTTAAAGCAAATTCTATTTTTTAGGTTAGTTTTTTTTCTATATTAAATTCGATGATTCGAGATATTTTGCCAAAGTTAAAAGTTAGGTAAATCAGATTATTATTTGATTAAAATGTATCAGTAAAAACATGGAGTTTCTCTTTGTATTCTAAAGTAATATTTTCGTGGGTAAATAAACATATAATTTCACATACACATCACACCCAGACCCGGGACAATAATTTGTGCATTTTAAAAGGAAGAAAAAATATCTTTATTATAACTTTCGTGAGACATTCTAAATTTATTATTATGTTTTCGGCTTACTAACGTAAGCCTTAAAAAAACTTCCTAATCTCTCCTCCTTAATTAAGAAAAATATCAATATTTTTACTTCAAATAAATCACATTACAAGAATGTTTCCACAGTCCAGAAACTAGCCTAATCTTGGTTATTTCCATGTGTCTTGGGTAGGTACTAAGTTTCGGAAGGAATAATATTGAAGCTTAAATAATGTTGAAAAAGATACACATAGTGTAGAATCAACAAAATTATTAAAGTTTAAAGTAAAATAAAAACAGGTTTCTTCTCTT